ACAATAGTAATAATATAATAATTTAATACAATAATAATATTTAAAGATTTTTTAATAATCTACTCAAGCCTTGATATAATGAATTGTTTTTATTTTCATATACAAATTGTTTATAAAGTTCTTCCTCTTCAATATCTAATTTGACATCATTTGTATAATTAAAATCATCAAGTTTTTGTATTTTGTTGTTTAATGATTCTTGATAATTTTGTTGAATTTGAAGTTGTTCATTATCAATTTCAAGTTTATTAGTAAATAAATTAGTTTTTTGTTTTCCAGCTATTTTGCTTTTTTTTTTTATCTTTAGTATAGTCAGAGTCTTCGCTATTATATTCTGATAGTAATAAATTATATTCATTATTAATATCTAAATCAATATATAATTTTGATATTAATTCTTTATAGTGATTGTTTGGTTTTCTTTCTGTAACAGCAGTACTTGATTCAGGCTAACTATTGATATTATTATCAAGCTTTTGTTTTTTTGATGATGTGGCTTTAACTATATTAATTTTTTTTTTGTAGTTTGGTATTTTACATTACTTGAAAAAGCTATTACTCGTTCTCTAGGCTTTGATTTAAGAATATTAATTATAATTTGATTAATAATATCATCAATATTTTTAGTAGTAGAATATTTATTTATTTTATTTGTCCAATTTTGTCTCCAATAATACAATCTTGTTGCAGAATCATATAATATTGTTCCAGCAGCTCCTAAATTTGTAGTAACTTCTTTAGCCTGTTCTAAAGTTGTTCTTTTATTAAATTCAATATCAAATATTCGATTATTAAAGTCTTGCTTATTTTCTTTTTTAAAAATACGTATAACATCTCCTTTTCCATTTGTATCTATAGAATTGTCTTCAAATTTGGTTATAAATCTAACTCTTCAAATAAATGCATCAATATTAATAGAAGAATTAGATTCTCGTAATTTTTTATAAAGATTTTCAATTGGGCCATTTGCTGTTATACAAATATACATAGCTATAATATGTGTTTTTCCATATTTGACATCTATTCAACAATGATTATGATTAGTTAATCTTAAAAAATTTGTCCATGTAATATTTAATCTATAAAAATCATCTAACAAAATTGCATTATTATGATTATAATTAAATTCTTCATTATTATACAGTCGACTCTAGATATAACGAACCTTTTTATAACGAACACACTATATAATGAACTTTTTTTTTCAAATTTAATTTAAGTTTGGTATATAAAATATAGTAAATTACTATATAATGAACTTTTAAAAATTTTTACTATAAGACTCGTCAGTTCATTATAAA